CCGGAGACACGAGCAAAAGAACAAAAGTCAAACGGCGCAGCCAGACACGCCGACGCAAAATAAGCACCGACTCCCCGTTATGCCTGACATAATGACATAATTATGCTCACACCCTCTCGCGACGAGACTGTTTCGTTCGCGTTGTTTCTTGTGGCCTTTTACGCTCGTTATCGTTTTGCTCTGCCTTCCCACACCGTCTCTCTTCACACCATCCATCTCACTGCCCCATCAACTAGGGCTGAGACGCTGGGACGCTGGGACGCTGGGACGCTGGCACTTCTTACCCGTCCACAGCAACCGTAACGAAACGGATGGCTCGTACAATTGACACGCACGGTAACCTGTGTGCCAAACCCGGTCGTCTTGTCTCCTGCACGGATTACGGAGGTTTCAAGGAATTACGGGTGGCCCGACCTGTCAGCGACCCCATCCATCTCCATCCAGTCCCCTTGCCTTTTGCCTTATTTTGCTTCTTTTCTCAGTCAGCACGGCCGGTCGACATTATGTGCTCGTCTCGCACGTCTTCTCTCGCCGTATAAGACAAAGCGCTTCCGTTCTCTTGACGTCCTTGCTCCACCTCATCCTTCCTTTCTGTCTTGTCGTCTTGTCTACTCTTTGATTTCTTCCTCTTTCTCTTTCTCTTTCTCTTCGTCTTTTTCTTTTGTTCTTTGCTTGCATCCCTGTCTTATACATTGTGTCACCATCGCACATTGCCCCCGACCGCCACCCGCAGCCATGACTGACACCCAGCTTCGGGACGGGCCTGCTGTGGCGTCCGGGCTCAACGAGAAAGCGGACAACGCTCAACAGCGAGACCCGTCCATCGCCGACGCCGTGGCGGCGCCCGCCGTTGTTCCAGCCGTCGACATAGAACCGCTGTCCAACCAGCCCCAGGGCCAGCCCGAGCAGGTCACCGGCATCAAGCTTTTCTTTCTGCTGCTCGCCCTCGCCCTCGCCTGCTTCTTGATCCTCCTCGACAACTCCGTCGTGTCCACGGCCGTCCCCAAAATCACCGACGACTTCCACTCGCTCAAGGACGTGGGCTGGTATGCGTCGTCGTACCAGCTCGGCAGCGTCGTGCTGCAGCTGCTGACGGGCAAGATCTTTTTGCACTTTTCGCTCAAGTGGTCCTTCATCGCCTTCTTCTTTGTCTTTGAGCTGGGCTCGGCGCTGTCGGGCGCCGCCCAGTCGTCGGCGATGCTGATTATCAGCCGCGCCGTCTCGGGCATTGGCGCCTCCGGCCTCATCAACGGCGCCCTCACCATTGTCTACGCCTCCGTGCCCCTGGAGCGCCGGCCGCCCCTGACGGGCATCGTCATCGGCATCGCCCAGCTGGGCATCGTGCTCGGCCCGCTCATCGGCGGCGCGTTTACCACGGGCTACACCTGGCGCTGGTGCTTCTACATCAACCTGCCGCTGGGCCTCATTGTCGCGGCGCCCCTCGTGTTTCTGCGCATCCCCGAGCAGGCCCCCAAGCAGCCGCCCATGGCCGTCGTCCGCCAGCTGCACCGCCACCTGGACCTCGTCGGCTTCGCCCTCTTTGCGCCCGCCATCATCATGCTGCTGCTGGCCATGCAGTTTGGCGGCAACCAGTTCGCCTGGCACTCGTCGCAGGTCATTGGCCTGTTTGTCGGCGCCGGCGCCACCTTTTTGGTCTGGATCGCCTGGAACTACCGCAAGGGCCACGAGGCCCTGCTGCCCTTCCCCATTGTGCGCCGCCGCCGCGTCTGGATGAGCGGCGTCAACTACGCCTTTCTGACGACCGGCGTCATTGGCGCCGCCTTCTTCCTGCCCATCTACTTCCAGGCCGTCAAGGGCGTCACGGCCATCATGAGCGGTGTCTACATGCTGGCCACCATCCTGCCCCAGGTCCTGGGCGCCGTGTCCTCGGGCATTCTGGTCGCCAAGGTCGGCTACGTCCCGGCCTTTTCCGTCCCTGCCGCCCTCCTCTTCTCCGTCGGTAGCGGCCTCTACACGCTGCTGCAGCCCGGCACGTCCGAGGCCAACTGGGTCGGCTTCCAGATCATCTCTGGCTTTGGCCGCGGTGTCGGTTTCCAAATGGTATGCTGTCCCTTTTCTTGTTCTTTTACCTGCCTCCCCCCTTTCTCGTTCTCGCAACTAACGCACGCCCCAGCCCATTGTCGCCATCCAGCACGCCATCACCCCCGAAGAGCTCTCTGCCGGCATGGCCTTTATCGTCTGGTGCCAATACCTCGGCCCCTCCATCTTCCTGACGCTGTTCAACACCGTCTTCGACACCAAGCTGACGGCCAACCTCCACAAGTATGCCCCCGACACCGACGCCAAAGCCGTCCTCCTCGCCGGCGCCACGGGATTCCGCAAGATCGTCTCCGCCGACCAGCTCCCCGGTGTCCTCCGGGCCTACTCGGACAGCCTCGACGTTGTCTTTTACATGGTGCTGGCCGTGTCGCTGGTCTGCTTCCTGTCGGCCTGGGGCATGGGCTTCAACGACATCCGCAAGTCGAAGCAGGTGGTGGACGAGGCCGCCGCGCGGAACGGCGGCAGCGGGAGCGACAACGACATGCAGAAGGAGGCGGTCACGGACGGCGAAACCGCTGTCCCCAGTGTTGCTACGGTGGTGGGCGCCGAGGAGAAGCGGTCGGTCGGATCAGAGACGGACCACTAGACGTGGTCTGCTCACGCCTATGCGCACGTCGTTTCTCTCAGCGCTTTCGAGTCCTGCACGGCCACAAACGCAGGCACGGCCGCTCCTGTCTTCACATTTCCTCTCCTTTTATTTCAGTCTTCCTTACGGCGTATACCATGCTCTTAGATAGCCTTTTCTTTCTGCTTTTGACATAAGTTTCATCATCCTCTCTTCACTCTACTCTAGACAGTCATAGACACAGTAATGTTTATTTTATTATCCATGATTCTCTTACACTTTTGTCTTTTATGCCTCTGTACTCTGAACTGTAGCCCGCCCTCCTCCCTGTCAATTACGCTTCCCCTGCAATCAGCTTCTCCCAGTCGACCGTCCTGGCCCAGTCTTCGTACGACGGCCGCGCCGGCGGGTGTCGCAGCTGGTGCGGCCGGACAAACCCCGGCTCGCCCCGTTCGTACGCGTCGTGCTCGTTAATGTAGTCGACCGTCGCCAGGACTTCCCACGACTGGCCCATCTGCACGAGCGCGGCCGTGGACACGGGCACCACCACGGCCGTCGCTTCGTTGGTGCCCGTCACGCGCCGGAACACGTCCACAAGGTCCCCCAGCGTCTGGTTGCTGTCAAACGCCAGCAGTTTTGTGCCGGCCGGCTCGTCCTCCACGAGACAGCGCACAAACGCGCCCGTGCCCGTGGCCGGGTCAATGGTCGGCAGGTGGATGTCCGTCTTGAGCGGGGAGACGAACTCGTAGATGCCTGCGGGGGTTGTCGTCGTCGTCGTCGTCGTCGTCGTCGTCGTAGCCGTCGTAGCCGTCGTAGCCGTCGGCGTCGCCCTGCGCGGAATCATGAGGCGGTTCGTGTTGTAGGCGCAAGGGACAATGACGGACAGCTTGGCTGCCAGCGCCGGCAGCTGCGTCTCAATGTACTCGACGGCCCAGTTCTTGGCCTCGGGGTGGAACGCGCGCGTGGTGGCGCGCGGATCCGACAGGAACAGCGAGCCGCCCACGATGGACGTCAGGCTCGACACCACCAGCCGCTCGAGCGTCGGCAGCGTCGCCGCCACGTCTGCCACATTCTTGCGGCACTTGGTCTCGTGGTCAAACGCAAGACGGCCCGCCGCCGCAGGGTCGTGGCCCGCAGACAGCAGCTTCGCCGCCGCCGGCCGGTACGTCTCCCAAAAGTCGGTGTTCAGGAAGATGGCGTGGGCGCCGTCCAGTGCCGCCCGTAAAGCCGCCGTGTCGCTGTCGCCCAGGTCGGCCCGGACCACCTCGGCACCCGCCGCCTTGAGGGCTTGGGCCTTGGCCGAGTCGGGGTTGCGCGTGATGCCGCGGACTCTCCAACCGGACAGACCCAGAAAGGTCGCTGCAACAGAGCCGCCTTGGTTGCCGGTTGCACCAGTCACGACAATAAGCTTGGACATGGTGGGGCTGGGGGTGCGAGTGTGCGTTTGCTTATGTGGATGAGACGAGATGAGGGCCAATGGATGGACCTACAAAATCTGTACCGGCTCTGGAGACCATCACGGGATAGATCGAGGTCCAGATACAATTACCTCGCTCAGGGACGTCACATCTTTTATGTACGCTGTAACGCCGCAATGTCCGAGGGCCAGAAAGGAGCTGCAGCTTGTGCAGGAAGGAGCCACCCCGCAGACGACAGGATCCCGGCGGCCGTGGCCAAATGCCACCCAAAAGTCCGTTCTCCGTCTCGCCCGCCGAGTGTCACGTTACCATTTCAGCCAATCGTCTTGTAGGAAATATCGGCGTAAACAACAGCCACCAACAGAATATGCTGCAGACAGGAGCGAGACGGTGATGGGTGATCTGTTTTGATACCATGACTTTGTGCGGATTCTTTTGACTAGGATTTGCATTGCTCTCTACGTCCCATTCCCCAACCACCTCCGAACTGCCCCTGCCCTTCTTCTGGCTGCTTCTTTCGTCTTCACGTCTCACGTCCCGTCGTCTTTTGTTTTTTCTATCAAAGTATAGCATGTGTTCGTGTATGTCATGTTTCTCCCTCAAGTCCTTTTCCACACAAAATGGTCCGTTCTGGCGATGGAGTTATTCCTGGCTCGAACCCAAACTATTGGCAGTCGAATAGTTGTACGCAGCTGCAATACGGCCTGGCACTGTCTCCTTTGATGTCCGTAGACAGTGGTTGCCGCCGCCGCGGATTGTCCTGCGCCAGCAGAGGCCATGTCTTGGCCATGGCAATGGACGTTCATACCGTTCGAAAATACGTCCGAAGAATGGATTCAGGGCGCTGTTCGGGGCGACATGAAAGCGCCACCGCAAGACCTTTGCAAGGCCTGCTTCGGCTCACTTCAGCTCACGCCTGGGCACCCGCTTTCTGGTCTTGAGACAGCTGTGTTTCTCTATATGAGGACCGCGTCGGCCAGCCGCAGTGCTGCTCTGTTATTCCGTTAGTCTGGCGAACGATGTGGGCATTGATGCCGATTGTTGGGTGCGTTGACTTACAAACTGCCGGCCGGCCGACGGCAATGTTGCTGGAGCTCTTGTTGTTGGAGTTGTTGCTGGAGTTGTTGCTGGAGTTGTTGCTGGAGTTGTTGCTGGAGTTGTTGCTGGAGTTGTTGCTGGAGTTGTTGCTGGAGTTGTTGCTGGAGTTGTTGCTGGAGTTGTTGCTAGAGTTGTTCTTGGGGTTGTTGTGTGGCATATTGACGTTGTGATGTTTGGACAAAAGAACAATTGGTGGGACGGAGGGAATAAGAAGACGGCCAATGCAAGCGCGTCGTTGGTCTTCAAACGGCAGGAACGATCAAAACACAGAAACCAGCAACAACAACAGACCGGTGGTCGCTCCTTCCCCATTGCCGTGCTTGCGCATCGTGCGGTCCTAGCAATATGCGTACAGAGCCGTTGTACTTGCCTGTTCTGTACATCTCATTGCACACCGTTTAGTAGCATATGCATATGCAGGAAGCAGGGCCAAAACGTTGTCATGTCATCCGTATTACGCCGTAGATTACATTGTTGAGATCGACAGCCAAGAAAGTAAAGTGAAAAAAAGAAAAGAAAAAAGCAATGGTTCCACCAGACGTAAAAGCACACAAATAAGCAGCAGAGCCGTCAGCCGTCGTAGCACCTCTGTCCCTTTTTCTCTTGCCCTCTGCCCTCTGCCCTCTGCCCTCTGCCCTCCATCTTCTTTACCCCTTTATTCTCTTCTTTTCATCGCCTCCTTCGTCGACTCTCTTCGCGTCTCCTCCCTTTGCGTCCCCCGGTGTCGGCTGCGTCCGCTCGCCGTCGCCAAAGACGACGCGGAAGACGTGGTCGTACAGCCACCACACGCTTCCAAAGACGAGGCCCACGGCGATGAGCATGGCCGGCGGCATGCGGCCCGAGCTGCCCTTTTTGCGGGGGATCCGGCCGGCGGCGAGGACCAGCATGAGGAACGGGAACGCGGCGGCCAGCAGCAGGACGCGCCCGATGGCCTGGCGGCGCGAGGTGATGGTGTAGGGGTGCAGGCTGGCGAGCCAGTCCTGGTAGGCCTGGGGCAGTTCGTGGTCGGCGGCGCCCGAGGTCAGCAGGCCCAAGTAGCGCTGGGAGGGCTGGGCGTAGTCCGGGTCGGGGCGGGTGCGGACGGTGGCGAAGCGGACGAGGCGGCGGACAAAAGCGCGCCACCGGCGAGCGAGCCCGTTTCCGTTATCGTCGTCTTCGTCGTCACCGTCACCGCCCTCCGTTTGACCGACCGCCTTCTTGTCGGCCGGCAGCTGCGGCGCAAAGAGGGTGCGCGCCAAAAAGGGCCGCGGCGGCACGGGCACGACGGGCTTCTCGGGCACGCCCATGCGCGGCGCCACCAGCAGACACGGCACCAGGATCTCCTGGTACGACGCGCCGCCGCCCTCGGTCGCAATGATCTTGGCATAGTCCTCGCGGGTCACCTCGTAGACGACGCCGTAGAGCGGGCCGTCCCAGATGGGATCGCCGTGGCTGCCAACCCTGGGTGGCGGATTTCGTGGCGGCCCTGGTGGGCCAGGAACGGGGAGGTCAGGGACGTCCGGCACGTCCGGCACGTCGGGGATCTTGGGCGGCGTCTTGGGCGGCCTGCGAATGGCCGTGTTGGCAAAGCAGGGCTCGCGGTACGGCACACCCGGCAGGTCAAAAGTCAGCCGTAGCGTCGGCGCGGAGACGGTGACGCACGACAGCGGCTTGATGCGGCGCGCGCCCTCAAAGGTGGAAGCGGCCATGTTGGAGCCATAGGCGAGGTAGAGAACGGTGGATTCGTCGGCAGGGCCGGCCGACGACTCGCTTGCTAGCAGCGCCGTCTTCTCGGAAGCAGTCCCTGTCTGTGTCTGTGTCTGGGCAAAGTACTTGGCTACCAGTACAGGCTCGTCAGGCACGACATCGGGCGTGGCTTTGGCGAGACGCTCGGCGGATGTGAATGGTATGCGACGAGCTTTTGGAGTGGACGCGGTCGAGGTCGAGGTCACAGACGACTCTGGGGAAGCCGGGTCGGTGGCAGTCGAGGCCTCCTCCTCGGACGACGTTGCTCCGTCGGCACGGGCAGCGCTGTCAAAGTCAATTTCTATGGCGTCACGGACAACAGTGGCGGCCAAGCCGGCCGGGGCGGGGGGTGTGTCGTCGGCCATCGTGGAGGAGGCAGATGAATATTCGACGTCGCCAAAGTCAATGATCACGTCGTTGTGCTCGTTGGAGGTGCATCGAGTCATGGGGGCCTGGGCGGCCATGGTGACGAGTGGCGGTTGAGCCATTTTAACGGAAGCTATCAGCGATCCGAGGCAGGCCACATGTGGCAAGGCGCGCACGGGAGATACGAAGCAAAGTGTCTTGTCGCCGGCTTCAAACTGTTACGAGAGAGAAATGCCCCGGCGTCAAACAGCGGCGCGAATGGTGGACAATGAAGTGGCGGAAGGAGGAAGGATCTGGAGGAGGATGGAACTGAAGGATGGGCGTCATGTGGGGACGTCGGGCAAGCATCGTGGACTTAAGGACGATGGACGGCGGAAGAGTCGACGAGTGCAAACAGGGCTGAGCCTGCTGGAACGGGGTTCGAGTCGTGCCCTGAAGGATTAGCGGCCGGGATTCATCCGTCCAGCGTACATGTATGTGCGGCTCGGAGTCACGGGCGCTGTATTTTGGCCGACAGGTGCCAAGAAGCGTAGCAGACAAGCGCTAACAAGTGCTAGTAATTTCTGTTGTCTAGTTTCTGTTTTAATTATTATTCCTCTTCCTTCAAAAGTCGCCGAGAGATTAACTAGAAGCACATGCCGCCGTTATGCGGGAAAACATAACTGCTCCTTCGCTGAACTGACCAATCCCGCCCAAGGCCAACAGGCATGACTCGTTCAATTCCGAGATTCTGGGCAGAGGCGTCAGGACAGACGAGGCTGTTACGTTCCGGCAGGCAGAATACAGCAGCCTCAAGACATCGTATTGAATACACTGACGATCGACAAGTAGGTTGTTTTGCAACATAACGTTTTGCTAGTACGAGTTCTATTCTGTTGGATTTCGTATTTACTACGGAGCACAACATCTCCAAATCCTGCCTACGCATGTTATGCGTTGCGTTGCATCTTATCTCACGCTTTTTCTTGGCTTGTGTGGGCATACTAAAATACAAAATCCTGGCTGACCTCTGCACCCAATGACAAGGTCTTGCCAATCTGTATAGTTTGACGATGCATTCCTTCTCTGAAACGGTGGACGGGTGTGTCTTACTTACTCCCGACGGGTTATCGGGGAATTCGGGCAGCAAAACCGATGTTGTCTGCCTTGCGTACCTCCTCCTCCCTACACAATCGTGTCCTCCCCGTCGTCTGAATCAAATTGTCCCCTGATCGGCGGCGGCGGCCACGCCGTCAGGTTGCTCCACGTGCTCTCAAAGTGGTGCCGCCCGGGGTGGGGCTGTCGGCAAAGGTGCGCCAGCCAGGACGCAGGCAGCGCACACCGGCGACGCTCTCGTGCAGCCAGTGGATGACGGAGCCCCAGGGAGTCTTGGTTGAAGCTCGTCATCACGCCCGGGTCGAGCCAGTCGCCAAGCTGGCGGCTGTGTCGATAGCCAGAGACCGTCGGCGCCGCGGGGCACGCCGCGGTCGACCCAGGCGACCATGCTCTCGTGCTGGCCCGACAAGAACGAGACATCGCCAAAGGCGCGGTAGCGGTCCCAGGGCGTCAGGACGGTCACATCGTCCCAGACGGCCAGCGGCAGGTGTGGTCACAGCGTGTGCAGAATGTTGGACACAACCACGAGGGGGAACGCCGTCGGAGGTGTCGAGCAGCTCGGCGCCCAGCGTGCCACATGCCAGCTGTGTTGTAAAGGAAGCTGGCCGGGTTGCAAAGGACCTAGAGGTCACCCTCCCAGCCCAGGTGCTCATACAGCAGATTCGGCCTGACGCTACACTTCAACGTTGTAGGCTAACTGTGTCCAGTCGCAGTCGCAGTCGTCTTCGGCCACCTCGTTCTCTTCCTCGGCCAAGATAAAGCGCCACAACAGCCGTGGCGACGGTGTACCGAAGCCGAAGCCGGTGGCATGCTGCTCGACCGCCGGCGCTGCAATAGATGGCATTGTTTGCTCGGATGGATGGTGATGAGGCTGAGGGTGAAGAAGAAGACTGCTATTGTTGTGTCTTTGTGCCTTTGTGTGGCAAGTAACCGTTTTGGGGCTGTTTGCAAACGTCAATAGCGAAGAAGGCAGGCGAGGAAAGATACGGCATACAAAGAAAAAAGGTGCGAAACACGACAGACACCAGGGGTCGTTTGACGACAAAAACATGCATGAACCGACAAGCAAACGACCTGCCACGATGGCGTCTGTTCTCGTCCGCCCCGGCCTTGTTGCGTGCGATACAAACGCTCCTCGTCGTCTTGTCATCTTTCTGTCTTGTCGTCTCGCTGTTTTGTTGTGTCTCCTCTTCGCCTGTTTGTCTTCCTGCATCGCTCCTTTCCTTCGGCCTCCCTTGCGCAGATGGAGACGGGACTCCGCTGGTGTTCAGAGGGTCAGTTGCAAGGATGTTTGCAGTGAGCATGGGTAGTTTTGCCCCGAGAAGCGCTGTGGACCGGCGCATCCCGGCAGAAGTTCGCGCCAGCTTAAGGCGGGCGTGGCCTTCTTTGGCACCCACGAACACGCGAAGATGCGGTAAAGACACGGTGACCGGGTTAAAAGAACAAAGAAAAAAAAGACTTTGGATAATCCGTTGCCAAATTAGGTCGTAATTTTCTTGTGACATATTTATTTTGTTCACTCAGTTCTCAGCACACTGTGGCTATTACTTTACTTACACACCACCCGCCACGGCGACGATGAGCATGCCACATACGTACAACAGAATACAATTAAATAGTCAAGTGATACAGCAGAGATGACCAAACTGACAATGGAAACCAACATCCAACACTCACGCAAACAAGACTTAAAAACAAACATCGCGGTTCTACCTCCATATCAGCGACTTGCTCGACCAGTACCAGAAACAGGGTTTCCGGTCGAAACGGTGACCTTGTTCAGCGTCATGTCTTTTCGGCGGCAGGGCACATTGATTGTCGCCACGTAGATGGCCTTGCCGGTTGATATGAGAAACCATGCAGCAGACTGGACCCGATTGCCTGGTTTAGTAACAGTTAGCGCCGGTGTCTGCCGATCAGATCGATCCACAGGGACACGCAAACCAGACGGTGACTCAAAGGCCGCTCTAGCCCAAGATAAGCAGTGAAACCAGACCACGTGGATTAACTCCTTAATGGTCAGAATATGGCTTTTTTAATGGGGCATGGGGCATGCGAAACATACGCGTACATGTATTTCGTACAGAATACGAAATATTCTGTCCGTGTTGTTGCTGGCCCGAGCGCTTGTTGACATTGAGTAAGTCGCTGCGAGTTTGGCCGGCAGAAAGCTGGAACGACGGTGGCGAGGGTGGCTTCCAGGTTCCTTTGTAAAGCTACGTAATTAGAAATATGAGTGGCGACAGGGATTAGAACCAACCCAGAGCGACGTCGTATTTATGGCCATGAAGGGGATAATCTTTGTCAGTATCGTAGTAAAAAAGTAGGAAGAACAGCACCGCCAAATTGTCGCGATCAATCAATAAGTTGAACGTAGTCATTGCTTTTCCAATTTATTTTTATTCTTTTTTTTAGGTCTACCTTTTCTCGGCACCCCCTAACCACACCCGGCAAGGACGATGAGAAAGGTATTTCCTAGGGTTAGCGGTCAACGAAGCAAGGGATAAGGCAGTGAACGGGTACAGTACACTATGATATGGGGAGTCATTCTGTCAAAACCATTGAAGCACAAAAGAAAAGACAAAGCAAAAACAAAGTAAAACAAAAGAAATGGGAAATCGAGATGTTGGTGACGGCGAGAATAAGCGAATGACGGAAACGGAAACAGAGGCAAACAACATGCAAACCGGTCAAAAATTAAACTCAAGGAAAAACAAAGATGCACAAAAACAAAGACAGCTAAAAGAGACAAAGGCAAAAACAGGGGGGGGGGGAAGGTCTGGCAATCTGGACACCACCCACTCGCAGCAGTCCACCTACAACCATCCAATCATCCTCCACCTGATCATGTTTCCTTGCTGCCAAGAGATATGTTGGACCACTTTTCGCTTTCATAGTTCCGCGCACTTTGCCGCATAAACCGCAACCGGGACTTCTTGCTGATGCCGCCGGAAATGACCTTGTCCAAGAGTGACGACTGGTGAACCTGGACAGCACTCGAGAGACGTGCGGACGCAGATCCTGCCGACACAAGTCCAGCAGATGCCACGTCTGGGAATGACGAACCAGTTGACACGGATGCTGAGGACCCAGACGCCGTAGAACTGAACGTGTCATGAGCGAGGCCAGGAACGCCAGGAAGGCCATGGTGGCCGGAATGGTCAAGACCGATGCTGCCCATGTTGGCAGAAGCGGCCGCGGCCGCGGCCGCGGCTGCGGCCTGCGACGGCTGGGAGAAGAGACCGCGTGAAACACCAAAATCCAAGCACTGCCCGGCAGTGCGGCGCGTACCCGGTTCTATGACCAGCATGAGGCTGAGAAGCTTGAAAATGCGGTTGTCAATTGTGCCACGGCGCATGGCAACGAAATCGACGACCATCTGCGTCCACTGGGCGGTCCACTCCATTGCCGTTCCGCGTGTGAAAGGCACGTCGAAGGCGGGTAGGCCGTGCGCCCACTCCAGAAGTATGACGCCGGCAGACCAGACGTCCGCGCGAAAGTCGTAGCCGTCAGTCGTCGAAAACATTTCGGGAGCCATGTACCTGTCGGTGCCGGCCCAGGAGTGCATCAATTTCTGGGAGTGCGCCTCTTTGGACAGCCCAAAATCAGACAGGACAATGTGGATGGGATCGAGGCTGGCGACCAAGATGTTTTGCGGCTTGAGGTCACGATGGGCGATGTGATGCACTTCGTGAAGGTAGTCGAGGGCCTGCAACAGCTGCTCCAAGGCCTTAATGCACTGGTCCTGACGGAGGCGGTATCTGCCAATGTTTCCGAGAGAGTAGTATGGCATCAAGACGCGTGCCAAGGGTTTTTGTTGAAAATCAATCACTTTGATGACATGGTCCTGCGAGCGAGAAGAGAGAGGCGAAAGGAGAACGTCGTGGGCATATCAGCAAAGAGAAAAGCATAGGTGGACAAAGGGAAATGAGACAAAAGAGAAAAGAGAAAAGAGAAGAGAGGGACAAGAAATGTAAAACGTACATGGTCGAATCTGCTCATAAATTGAATCTCTTGCTGAAAATCCCGTAACGCGCTGTCGCTCAGGCCGTCCTTGAGCTGCTTCAGCGCCCCGATGTCGCCCGTATCGAGATCCATCCAGAGTTGCACTTGCCCAAAAGCGCCCGCGTCAAGCTGCCGGCTGTAGACGCGATCGCTGTCGCGGTTCGTCTGCAGCACCGACGTGCCGGCCATGGACGCGACGGCGGTCATTCTTGTGATGACAGGCGTCTTGGCGCAAGCTTGAAGATTGGCCAGATACGCGTCCGACGCCATATCGTTATCGTGGCTCGGAAACTGGATCCCGAACGTCGCTGTCTGGTACGTCTCGGCATCTTCCACGCGGATGTCAACCGTTTCCCACAGCTGGTCCTCAAACGGCCCCCGGTACACAACCGCCGTCTCGCCAATCCTGCGCGCATGGTGCCACGAGACATTGCTGTTGTTCGTCTTGTGATCCGTGTGGGTACGACCGATGGCGCAGCCCATGTCCAAGTAGCGGACATGGATGCGCAGATCCGGCGTAATGAACAGGCCAAAGTGCTGCTGTCGGCGAACACGCGAGCGCATCGTGCGCGTTGTGCCGGGGACGGTGGTGCCGGCCAGGGAAAACACAAAGACATCTGACTTGCCGCCCAGTGTGCCAAACAGCCATTCATTTTCTTCGGGCTTTGTTAAGCCTCGGCTGAAGCGGAGCTCCAACCGGTCCGACTTGTCTTTTATGCCATTATACCTGCTGCTGTGTTGGCCAACAAAGATTGCCTTGTTTGGCTCGTCCCGGATGGCATCTAGGGCATTTCCACCCTTGTTGATAATCCAAGCAAAGATGTCGGGGTCATCCGTGGGTGGAGCAAGACGAGGCATGACTGGCAAGGAAGCAGATAACAGGGAAAACGCACAGAGAAGTTGAAGTTGAAGATGCTGATGGGGCTGATAAAGTTGATGGTTCAATAGGGAATATGCCGAGTGTCCAACAACGACCACGAGAGGCCATTAATATATACTCAAAGTACGCACAAGATGCAAAGCGTACAAAACATGCAAGACATGAAAACAAGAAAAATGGAAAAGATTGCCAGAAGAGGCTCGTGCAGCAGCCTACGTGAGCTGGCCTGTGTCGGTCGGCCATGCCGTGGACGTTCCAATATGGTCGTTCCATATGGACGTTCCAAAGTGGACACTCGCTGCGACATTCCCCTTTCTTCATTGCAGGTTCAGGGGGCACAATGGACGCCAGTCAATATGGCACGTCTAGACTTATGATGTAGGGGTAGGAAAGTGGGAAAAATGGTCACGATGTATCGATTTCAAGATGCAGTACGACTTATAGAACTGACAGATAGACAGAAAGGAGTGAAGACCAAAATGTAACGGAAAGGGACCAATCAGGAAGGATGCATGCATCATTTATTGTGGGCACAGAGCCTGTGGGCCATGCAGCTGAGACGCAGGCATGCTCTGTGTGGGCCTTGCTGTTTGGTTTCCATCTCATTTTGTGACGTTCTTTGGTAGAAATATCATTGACCAACACAAAATAGACCAAAAAATGACTGAATTTGGCCTCGTTTTTGGCAATGTTGGCGCTGTCAATATTAGCGGTCAAAGGCTACTCCGCTCTTACCCCTTTCCGCCCATTCATTTCACTCTTTCACTTTTGCACTCTTTCTCTTTCTCTGTCACTCTTTCACTCTGTCGCTCTTTCACTTTTGACTTTTCCAATTTTGCTTACACTTTTCCGCTCTTTCACGCAGTCGGTTCCGCTCTTCCGTTTGCGGATAGCGCCTTTTCCATCTTCCATCTTGTGCGTCTTCTCCTCCCCGTCGTCCTTCTCGTCCTTCTCCTCGT